GTCCAATGTTTGTACTCAGTGTCAAAAAGCAGGTGGAAGAAGGCAGAGAAGGGTCTGAGCCGAGCCTGAGTCCATGACTTCTTCCGGGGATGGCTTGGAGAAGGGTCAACAGAACGAAGGAGACAGGAGGGTGGGGGCTTGTGTGGAAGATTCAAGGGGCGGACGGTCACCCGAGGCGAGTGCTCTGGGTCCAGGAGTCTGACTGAGCAAAGGCCCACAGGTAGTTAATGAGGTGTGTTCTGGGGATCCTAGCGACCCTGGTGTCAGATGGACAGGGATGGAAGCCCTGAGGCAGGGCAGAGAAGCAAGGGGGTCCTGCGGGAATGGAAGGCAGGCTGTGCATTGATCGGGAACTCTGCAAGGAGGAGGAAGGAACAGAATGGCAGCTGAGAGGGGCAGGAGGATGAAGTAAGGATTTTCCTCCGAGGTAGGAAAGGCCTGTGTGTGCTCCACAACCGAGTGCGAGGAGCCTGCCGTGGGATGGATGCTTCGGCATGAGGACTGGGATAATTATAGAGACTTTTCTAGAAGAGACAGGAAGGGAATGGGACTGAGAATGCAGTTTGGCCTTAGAACAAAGAGAAGAGACAGACCTCTCCGACTGAGCCTGTGTCCTTGTCGTTTCCTCTAAATCATAACCATTTGTTTGTACTGTGTGCAACTAACGTCCAGTGGTACGCACAGCTGCTGTCACCCAGATTCCCCCTCCTCCCAGACGGCTGCTGTTTATGGCCCACGCGTCTGGCAATTTAAATGTCTTACCTCATGAGAAGTGCACGCTCGTCATTCCCATCTTACAGATGAGGAAACCGAGCAAGAGCCATCATAATGAACTTGACCAAGGTGACCCAGCTGGCAAGTGGGAGGGCCGTGTTGGACGCCAGACAGTCCCACTCCAGAGCTCCTGCCCTTGGGTGCTGCTCCCGGGCACCTCACAGTTGCAAATAGCCCCTAGTGCAGCACTAGAGTGGAGACAGCCCATGGCAGGGGTCTGCCTTTAGTACTCCTCTGCAGTGGGAGCGCTTTCAGTAATGAAGAGGTCATTTCCTCTTCACGTCTCTTTTCAGTTCAGGGGTCGAGTCCCCCAGAGCTCGGCATGCTCCCTGCCAGCAGGCTCTCCCACACTCAGGTATAAACTGCTGACCACCTGACCAACCCCACACCCCTGCAACTAGCAGGTTTTCTGTGACACGTTCTTTTAAAAATAAATGAAACAAAACAGTTGCATAAGCAGTTTGCTTACTTTTCTAATAAAAGTCCCACTAACACAAAGCAAAGAGCTGGGCCCTGTGCTGAGGGGGTGACTCAGACTCTTTATGACGAAGGTGAGGTCACTGGCCTGGAGGGACAGAGTGAAAATAAGAGCTTGATCCACCCCCGTCGATTCCCACACAGCAGCCTAGCACTTGCTGGATCTCTGACTGCCCAGCTGAAATCCTGAGTCCCAGGCCCTCAGAACACAGTCCAGACATCTGGGGGCTAAGAGGTGTTTACCACCTGGGCCCAACTACCACCCAAGACCATCATCACACGCCCCCTCCCCACCCCTAGCTACTTATTTATCTGAAAGGCAGAGTTACAGAGAGGCAGAGGCAGAGAAAGATGCAGGAAGAGAGGTTTTCCATCCATTGGTTCACTTCCCAAACGGCCGCAGTGGCCAGAGCCGATATAAAGCCAAGAGCCTGGAGCTTCTTCCGGGTCTCCCTCATGGGTGCGGGGGCCCAAGGACTTGGGCTATCTTCTATTGCTTTCCCAGGCCATAGCATGGAGCAGGATGGGAAATGGAGCAGCCAGGACTCCAACCAGCGCCCATATGGGAAGCCAGCATCGCAGGCAGCAGCTTTACCCGCTATGCCACAGCGCCAACCCCAGCTCCAGTGATCTTAAGTGTACTCCGCCTTCCCTGCCTGAATTGTGCTTCCCCGTCCTCTTCTTCCCCTGGCTAGTGCCGAGTCCTCAGCACTCAGATTTGCTTATGGCGATGCCGCTGCTTCTAAGAAGTCCTCCTGAATTCCATGTCTAGACGTGGGCCTCCCCAGTGTGTACCCCTAGCACCCTGTACCTCCCCACCACAGCACCTGCTCATCTGCAATGAACCACACTTGCCAAGTACTACTCATGACCTTGAGTAGTCCTCTTTCATACCAATTCTAGGCTGGCCTCGTGAGCTGCGTTAACCAACGAATTCTAGAAGCGATCCTGCGTGGGTTCCTGGCCTGAAGCCCCTGGCAGCCTCCACTTTTGTACCTGCGCAAGCCCAAGCCACCACTGAAGTTCAGCTTCCCAGCAGACAAGCAGAGACCACCTGAGATGGAGAAAGGCCCAGCCTTTCCGGGGCCCTCGCTGAGGGTGCGTGATTCCAGCTCCAGCGGTCATCTGAGACCAGCAGTCAGGTCGCAGGACGATGAGACGCAATGGCTGTTTTAAACCACTGCATCTTGTGATGCAGCAACCAAAAAACTAAAACATCACTCTCTGGTTTCATTGCTTACTGGCTTTTTTGCCTGCTACACTGTTTTCTTCTGTGAAGGCAGGAACTACATCCACCTTTTTAAAGTATTATACTTGTATACTCTAGACCTGCTGTAGCAACAAATGTACTCTTAAGTATCTGATGAATGCAAATTAAGAATGGCTACAAAAACAAAGGCAACAGTGAACATCTGGGACACTGCCAGTGGCGTGAGTACACCACAGGTGATGACCTGCACGCCTGGACATCAAGTTCCCAGTGTAAGACAGGCACTCACCTTAGCAGAGGGATTCAGTAACCTTGACTGGGGCCATACTCAACAACACTGACCCCGGGGGCAGGAGAAGACAAAGGCTGATGGTTCAAATAAAGCTGAAAGGTCAAGGGAACAAAGTACCATTCCTGCCAGTGCTCCTGTGGGCAGCACTGAACAGGTGAGCTTGCACCAGGGAGGCCTCCAGCTGCCCTCACCACCTGCCCCTCACACAGTGCTCTGTTGGGGTTCTCAGAGACGCCACCATGCCATTTCACATACGAGACAGCTGCCTTAGCCTCTCCTTCAAAACCCTTCAGCCAGCTCTAGCCAGGAGCACCTCAAGGAATGCATGCATGTGGAATGAACGCCTCTCCACTCAGACAAGTAAATGCCGAGTGGGGTCTGGTGTTCTTGGCTGTAATCACCAACAGCACAAGGTGTCCAGTCAAGTCTGCCAGATGACAGTTTACGTCAAGACCTATGTGGGCCACACAGTGGGAAAATGCCATCCCTGTCCAGAGGACAAGAGAACTGGGGAGACTGGAGTTACACAAATGAGATGATTAAATCAAAGGACAGAGTATGATTACTGCTAAACTGCAGTCGGAAGTGAAGTGCTATAGGAACTGGGAAAAGCAGGCAGTGGGGGAGGGCTCAGACAGGCTTCACTGAGGGGCTGGGATGGGGCTGAGCCCTCAAGAGTGAAACCCCCTACAGACAGGCTAAAAGGAAGAGGAGGAATAGAGCTGAACCCATGCTTGCTATTTTATTCGGAAGCAGCCACACAAAGAGATTGAAAGGTGGCTGCCCCAAAGCAAGGCTATTTCTGCAGAGTTCCCCAATATTCAGCCTTCTATCTTACTGTTTCCCCTGCCTTTCTCATCCACCTGGCAAACTGATACCCATGAAGGCCCAGCTCCAAGGCACCCACTTTTCTAAGGCACCCCACGCTGTGCCCACCGCTATCTATTACATTTGCCTACTCACCTCCACTATAGTGACCAGAAACAGATTAGGTTCTTACTACATGCCAGGAACTGTGCTCGACACTTTTAACGTATTGTTTAAGCCTCACAACGACTGCCATCACTTTACAGGTGGAGAACCGGAGTGCACAAGACATCGCTAGGAGGCTAAGTCCCAGACTGGTGGGGCTCAGGAGCCTCTGCACTATGTGTTCCCGAAGGCCACAAATGTTCTGGATTCATCTGCCTGCTCAGATTCTAGGATAGCGGCTGACATATGGCTCAAAAATTCTCTATCAGGGGACCAGTGCGGTGGCTTAGCAGGTAAAGCTGTTGCCTACAGATCCAGCATCCCATATGGGTGCCGGTTCAAGTCCCAGCTGGTCCACTTCCGACCCAGCTCCCTGCTAATGTGCCTGGGAAAGCAACCAAGTGCTTGGGCCCCTGCATCCATGTGGGAGACCCAGAAAAAGCTCCTGGCTTCTGGCCTGTGCTGCCATTTGTGGAGTGAACCAGGAGATAGAAGACCTCTCTCTCTGCCTCTCTGTAACTCTGCCTTTCAAATAAAAAAAAAAATTTAAGTAGCTTCTATAAAATACAGAAGTACTTTGAAAACAATTTATAAAATTCTGTGACAAGCACTGCAACGTTCAGACTGGACGCCTCGGCCTCCAAGGAGGTACCCGCAGCACTTCCACCCCCCAAGGCCACGTACCTGGCAAGAGAGGAAGCCTACCCCTTATAGGTGAATTCGAGTCATTTACTTCACCGGTTCCAAAGGGGTCAAAGAGGAATTATTCTTTCCCACAAAACCCCACACTCTGGGACACTACACTGCCTGGGGCTGAAGATGAGGGGGCGTGCGGGGTCCGCGCCTGCTGGGTGGGGGAGGAGGCTCCTCTCGCGGATTTTGAGGGGAGCCATAGTCGCCCTCTCTTGGGCCTGGAAGGGCAGGCTGAGGCCACGCCACCTGACACCGCCGTGGCGCACAAAGCAAGAGTCCGGCCGGAAGCTGCAGCTTTCAAAGCCCAGGCGGGCCCGGCCCCGCACCTCCGACGCGAAGCTCGGCCCACTGAGGCTGGCTGAGACCACCTCCGCAACCTCGCGGGGCCCTCTGGCGTCACCGGAGCCGCTCCGCCCCGCTTCCCCACGGCCCTGCTTCCGGGGCGCTCTGCACCGCCCCCCGGACCCCGGCCGCGGCGCGCTCTGCGCATTCCTGTGGGGACGCCAAGCGCAACCCACGCCCGCGCGGCCGGCGACCTCCCGGCCGGAACACGCCCACAGCCCGCACTTCCTCTCGCCCAGCGCCGTCCTTCCGGCCGGGCTCCTTTCTAATTGGCTGTCTGAGAGCTTCCCCGGGGACTCGGCCGCTCGGGACACCACGCTGGCCGCTGGAGTCGCTGCCCCGCGGCGTGGCCACACGTCTTCGGCTGCGAGCTCCCCGTGGTGCCGGTGACATGTGGCGCCTGTCAGGACTGCTGGGCCGAGGTAAGGGGCGTGGGAGCGGCAAGGCGGCAGATGCTGAATTGGAGCCAGGGCTGCAGGAAGACGCCGCAGCGCCAGTGGGCGGGGCTAGGGCCACGGGGTGGGGCATTAAGTGGGGGCGGGGCTTCTGCGAGGATCTGCTTTGCATGGGTGGGAGGGGCTAAGAAAAGGGGGAGGGACTTAGGCGCCAGGAGGTGGGTGGAGCTAGTGGGAGGGGAAGAAGTCAGGTGTGGAAACCGTGGGCCGATCCGATGGAAGACCGCGAGAGGCGAGTGGAATAGGAAGCCAGTGAGCAGAGGAAGGGTTCAGACCTTGCTCCAAGCACTGGACGAGACTCTGTGTATGAATATGTGGTCATAGAACTGTGGTTGCCAGCCACAGGAGGGCATCAGTCACATGGGGGAACTTTATCTACATGTGGATGCTCTACCCTAAAGGGCTCTGGGTGGCACCCTAGAATCTGGGCAGAGACTTGCACGTATATCTTTGTTCAGGAACCATTGAGGAAGTGGGCACCAGTGCTGCCTTGGTTCCTGGATAGAACTCGGGTGCAGGTCTGAGGGGAGATGGTTGGGGCCACCTTTGCCTGAGTCCTGTTCCTGTTGAGGTGACTGATCCTTTTTGCACTGCACAGCTCTTCCCCGCCTGCTGGGATCTGACCTTCAAAGTGTGACTCCTAAGTCTACCAGCCCAGATGGGCCTCAGGCAGCTGCCTCCACACTGCTGGTCCCTGTGCCCAGCTTTCAGCGGTAAGACACTGCCATTCTACCACCTGACTTCTCTTTGCCCCCGTGTGGGACAGAACTTGACAGCCCCTCATTGCATCATCTAGGTCGCGCACCCATGGCCCGGGCACAAGACAGGGTCCAAGGAACCATGGGTGGAAGGATGCTTTCCACTGGATGTCTGCTCGTGTCTCACCCAACACTCTGTGGGATGCGTTATCATGGGTAAGGCATCCCCAACTCTCCTTGACTTTTGGTGTGAATTAGAATGATCCTGAGGCAAGCAGTATGGCACAGCAGGTTAAACCACTACTTGGATGTCCGCATCCCATCTTGAAATATATGGTTTGAGTTCTGGCTACCCCACGTACTTCCAATCAAGCTGCCTGCTAATGTCCCTGAGAGGTACTTGGGTTCCTGTCATTCATGTGGCTTAGCTCCTGGCCTAGCTTAGCTCTTGAAGGCACTTGAGGAGTAAACCACCAAATGGAAGATCTCTCTCTCTCTCTGTCTCTCCCTCTATGTTTGTCACTTTGCCTTTCAAACATACATAAATCTTAAAAAAAAAAAAAAAAAGAATGGTCATATATGAAAGTATAGCCTGGTTTAGAAACAGGAACTAGGGCATCATTGAGTTCATAGAACAGATGGCATTGGAATGTATTCGTGGAGTCTTTGCCACCACTCCTCCTCAAATATGTATTTATTCCTATTTAATTCAGTAAACATTCACTTAACACCGTCTCTGAGTCAGGTGTTCTTGCTAGGCACCAGGGACATAGCAGAGAACAAGGAAGATTTATTTCTTGCCTTCACGGAGCTTACAACAAATAATAGTAACTAACATTAGTTATTCATGTAAAGTATGATGCATTCATTACCTTGCTTGAGCCTTATAAAAATCTTGCAAGGAAAACATAATCTTCATTGTTTAAAAGATTTATTTATTTGAAAGGCAGAGTTAGAAAGAGAGAGGGACAGATAGAAAATGATATTCTGTCACTGGTTCTCTCCCCAAACAGCTGTAAGAGCTGGGACTGGGGCAGTCCGGAACCAGGAGCCTGGAACTCCATCCGAATCGCCCACGTGGTGGCCCAAGCACTCAGGCCATCTTTGCTGCTTTCCCAGCTGCATTAGCAGGGAGGTGGATCAGGAGTAGAGCAGCTTGCACACGAAGTGGCACTCACAGGGAAAGCTGGCGTCACAGGTGGAAGCTTAACCCCCTGTACCACACACTGGCCCTGTATAGTTTTCATTAAAAAAAATAACTTTTTATCTTGTTGAAAGGTAAGAGAGAAAAAGAGATCGTTCATTCACTGGTTCAGTCCTCAAAATGCCTGCCATCCAGGCTGGGCCGTGTGGGAGCCAGCGGCCTGGAACTCTGTCCAGCTCTCCCTGTTGGGCGGTAGGGCCAAGCTCTTGAGTCATCATCTGCTGCCTCCCGGGGTGCATTAGCAGGCAGCTGTATTTGAAGCAGAGTAGCTGTGACTTGAACAGGCACTCCTCTGTGGGGTGCAGGCATCCCAAGAAGCAGCTTAACACAATCTTCATTTTTTTATTAAAGATTTATTTATTAATTTGCACACAATCTTCATTTTTTTATTGAAGATTTATTTATTAATTTGAAAGAGTTACACAGAGAGAGAAGGAGAGGCAGAGAGAGAGAGAGAGATATCTTCCATCCACTGGTTCACTCCCTAATTGGTCACAATGGCTAGAGCTGTGCCGATCCGAAGCCAGGAGCCAGGAGTTTCTTAGGGGTCTCCCACATGGGTGCAGGTACCCAAGGACTTGGGCCTTCTTCTACTGCTTTCCCAGGCTGTAGCAGAGAGCTGGATAGGAAGCGGAGCAGCCAGGACTCGAACCGGTGCCCTTACAGGATGCCAGCCCTGCAGGTGGTAGCTTTACCCGCTCTGCCACAGCACTGGCCCCCATCAGCCCACTTCTTAAACACCATAACTGGATTAATTTCCCACCCTCCTAGAAACAGATGCTTAAGACTTTGAGGGTTAAAGTCCTGCATGAGTTCCAGAGCCCCACAGCAGTAGTTACTGTATTTATTTCTCTGTGTGCTTGGGTTTTGTCTTTCTCGATGCAATACAGGAACCTCATGCCAGCAGAGACTTTGTCTGATTTTTGTACACAGTGCCTGTTGCAACAAGCAGCATGGAAAGAGACAGAAAACCCAGCAGTCAGTGGGATGAGCGTGAGCTCAGGGCTTCCTGCCGACCTCGCAGGGAAGAGACACGTTGAGCACGCCTACACCTGTCACTGTGTGTGCTGGTGCCATCGCTTGGTTGTGCCAGACTGCAGAGGGTCCATTGGGGAGCACTGAGCGTGGCTGCATGTGTGGCTAAGCCCCAGTGTGCCACGTGATCCTGGTGCCTGCCTAGACTTTGTTTATTCAGTCCTGCACTCAGGCATTTGCTTGGCCTCTGCTGTTTCTTAGCACTGTGGTGAGCACCAGGGGAGTGCTGGTGAGCAGGTCATACACGGGTCCTGCCCTCCTCGTGCTTAGAGGTGAACAGGAGTAACAGACCTTGGATGAAGAATGACTGTAGAGAGGATAGGTTAAGTGCGGATGCCATCAGGGCTCTGGGGAGAAGTTCAGTGTTGTAAGAGTATGTAGTGGGGAGCTGGCCCGGCCAGGAGCCAGGACAGGCTTCCGGAGGAAATGATCTTTGATCTGAAGACTGGGTCTGGAGCTCTGATGAGTGGCAGACCGGGTCCCTAAGGTACTGTTTTCCCCAGGGCACGCTGGCTGTGCTGGCCCTGCAGCTGGCCAGGCAGATCCACTCCCAGGCGTCCCTGCCTGCAGGACCGCGGCGGCCGGAACACTGCTCTTGGCGCAGTCCCCTGGACCGTTTCCTCCCATCCGCCCCGTGGCAGCCGCACTCCTGTGAGTTCTCAGCCCCAGGGGCAGCAGGGCTGGGCTGGGCGGCATCTCAGGACACACCTCAGGAAAAGAGCTCCTTGCCTTTCCTATCTGGAGTCAGAGGAAGCAGAACCCTGGGAAATTCTATCCACCCACGGCGTGGCCACACCTGCCCCCTGGGTGTCCTTCCTTGCCTTTCCATCACCTCCTGTGGAGGGAGCCCGAGAGGTTCCGGCTACTGCAGATCCTGGGTGTGGCCTCCTGCCTTACCTTTAGCCAGTGAGGTCATTTTCTGGTCAGTTTTTAAGTCATTCATGAATAAATAAGTGTTCATTAGAGATCTGTTATAAGAGGCATGACACAGGAGCAGTATAGCCTAGTGGTTAAGGCTCTGGAGTCAGAGTCTAGGAACTGAAGCCCCAGGGGCCCTGTTTCCTGGTCTTGTGTCCCTGGACAAGTCACTTGCAACTGCCTTGTGCCTCAGTTCCCTCACCTGTAAAACAGGGGTAATGAGCCTCATGCCCAGTACTGCTCGTGAATGGTGACTCACTGAGTGCTGGGTAACTGTTACTGCACGTTCTTGTCCATCTTCCTGTGGCTGTAACTGTTGCCATTGGACAAGGGCTAGGTGCTGCAGCTTCCACAGTGGGGAAGGTGGCTGCCTCCTGCACTGCAGAGGAGTGGCTTATGGGTAGGCTTGGAGGTCAGCAAAAGGATGGGCCCCTCGAGACCCCCGTGGAGGGCAGCCCTCCAAGGCCGTGAGGAAGGAGGAGGAGTGTGCAGGAAATGTCAGGGTTTTGCCGTTCTTCCTCGGGTCTCCAAAGCCTTGGGGAGGGTGAGCAGGCTGCACTGGTCCCTTCCTGACCTGCACACTCACGCTGCTCTTCCCAGCACTGCGGAGGCACATTCTCCCCCTCGCCAACGGCCCCACTCCCACTCCTGCTCCCGGGTACACTGGCCTTGGGGACAGGCAGGGCCCAGAAGAACCCTTGACTCGGCCCCAGAGGGTCTCCTCGCGCAGCCCCTTGGAGGCAGCTGGCCTCCAGGACCTCTCCGAGGAAGGTCAGTCTCCACTTGCTGGAACGGGGAGGGGAGCGGGGCAGGTGGACAGTGGTGGCTGGGAGCTCCCAGCTAAGGGAATTCCCATCATTCCCATGAGGCTGTGTGCCTTTTGGGTTTCTTAGGAGCCCGGCAGGACTGCTGGCTGGAGAGGCTGGGGAGACTGGGGAGCCGGCGAGGAGGTGGAGTGACACTGCCCCTGGCTGGGTGTTGGCCTTTGCCTTGCAGGTCCCAGTGACTGGACCTTGCTCCATGCCAGCAGTAGCTCCGACTCCACAGCGACAGCAGCCCAGCCTGGGCCCCTGGGAGACAGGAAGGTACTGTCAACGCTGGCCACTCAGAGCCCCAGCTTTCCCCCGGGCAGGCCATGGTCCCTGTGAGCCATCCCTTGAAGAGTCTTCGTGTTTGCTCCCCAGGAACAAGACACATCAACAGCTCTTCCACTTGAGGAGGCCGTGACTTCCATTCAGCAGCTCTTCGAGCTCAGTGTTTCCATCGCCTTCAACTTCCTGGGTAACTGGGAGGGCTGTGCCTGTAGGCAGGAGGACGGGAACGAGAAAGGGTACAGTCAGGGTGGAGAGTGGTTGAAATGAGAGACTATTTTCGCCCAGGTTGGTAGACCAGATGCTGGCTTGATGACATCGGAGATGAATTCTTTCTCAGATGTGTTCTGGCATTTTTTTTTTTTTTAAGATTTACTTATTTGTTTGAAAGGCAGAATTACAGAGAGGCAGAGGCAGAGAGAGCGAATGGGAAAGGTCTTCCATCCACTGGTTGGCTCGCCAGATGGCTCCTACATCTGGAACTGAGCTAATCTGAATCCAGGAACCAAGAGCTTCTTCCAGGTCTCCCACACAGGTGCAGGGGCCCAAGGACTTGGCCCACCTTCTACTGCTTTCCCAGGCTGTAGCAGAGAGATGGATCAGAAGTACAGCAGCTGGGCACCCGAACTGGTGCCCATATGGGACTCCAACACTACAGGCAGTGGATTTACCCACTACACCACAGCACCGGCTCCAGTGTACTGCCTTCTTAAAATGCTCCTGGAGCCAGCGCTGTGGCGTAGTAGGCTAAGCATCCGCCTGCAGGAAGGGAAGCCGGGTGGAGGGGTGCAAGCAGAGGCCCCGGCAGGAGGGGCCACACAGGCAAAGGCTCCGAGGTGGAAATTGGCGTGCCCTGCTCCTTTCCTCTCTTCTTTTTGGCTTGGGCAGTGACCACAGCATGAGCTGAGTAGACTTCCCGGTCTCCTCGTGGGACGAGGTGGACAGGGGCCAGCATTGTGATTCAGCAGGGTAAGCAGCTGCTTGCAGTGCCCGGCATGCCATATCGGAACGCTGGTTCGAGTCCGGGGTGCTCCACTTCTGGTCCAGCTCTCTGCTGTTGTGCCTGGGAAGGCAGTGGATGATGGTCCAAGTCCTTGGCTTCCTGTTGCCCATGTGGGAGACCCAGGTGGAATTCCAGGCTCATGGCTTCAGCTTGGCCCGGCCAACCATTGGAGCCATTTGAGGAGTAAGCCAGTGCATGCAATCCCTCTCTCTCTCTCTCTCTCTCTCTCTCTGTGTGTGTGTGTGTGTAACTCTGCCTTTCAAATAAATAAGTAAACCTTAAAAGAGGAGGGAAAAAAAAGCAAAATTAATGGCACCACCTGGAGCTGGCATTGAGGTACAGAAGGTTAAGCCACTACCTGTGACACCCAGGTATATTCCAGTCCCAGCTGCTCAGCTTCCAGCCAACAGATGATGGTCTAAGTACTGGGGCTCGTGGGAGACCCAGATGGGATTCCTGGCTTCTGACCTGGCTGTTGTGGGCATTTGGAAAGAGAACCAGCAAATGGAAGATCTCTCTGTCCCTGTGTCTCCCTCTTTCTCTGATGCTATCCCTTTCAAGTAAATAAATCTTGAAACAGTATCACCTGTACAAGTTAGGGTTTGCTGCAGCCTGATCTCACCCTGGCTACCTGAGTCACGAAATGAACCTGCTGGGGTCTGCCGACCACCAGATCTCAGGAAGGGTGGAACCTGTCGGAACCAAGCCGGAGGAACCGTTTCCTTCCCTCGTCCCAGCCTGAGCAAGGTTTCCGCTCCTAAGAAAGTGTCTCAATGATTGGCACATTGATTGACAGCACTGTGGGCAGGGCTTTTCCCAAGAGAAGGAGGCTTGAATGGTTGTGTAGGAAGGCAGAACCCACGGATGTGTGGCACACCAGTGAAGTATTTGGAGGATAGAAATACGTGCCAGATGTCTTGCATAGAAAAGGAAGGCAGAAGCCCGGGTTCGAGTGAGAAGCCTGTGAGGGTCTGGCCGAGGACGTGGGGCAGCTCACGGAGGGGCTGTAAGTGTCCACGTCCTGTGCTTTCTTGCAGGGACAGAGAACGTAAGGAACGGGGACTACGCAGCAGCCTTTTCTTACTTCCAGAAAGCTGCGGACCGTGGCTACAGCAAAGCACAGTACAACGTGGGCTTGTGTCACGAGCATGGGAGAGGCACCCCGAGGGACCTGAGCAAGGTATTGCGCTTCCTCCCCTCCCCAGGCCTGTCCACCGTGCTGGGCTGCCCAGAGTGTTCCCTGGAGATGAGCGGGGCTGTGGGGTGGCGGGAGGCCCCATTTCTCTCTCCCACTTGTTTCAGCCCAGCCCCAAGGGAAATGCAAGAAAGAAGCTCCCACCTTCTAGAAACTTAGAACTCAGGGAGGTCAGGGCTGGCCTGGAGTCTTTGCCGTGGTTTCCTAGTGCCTGGAACAGTGCCCTGGTGGATGGGTTAATGCGTTCTAAAGAGCAGGAGAAGTCAGAGTCGCGACATACAGGGGTGTGTTGCTAACAGTTGTGGAGACTGAAAAAGGGGCAGCGACTTCAGTTTCCTTAACAGTAGAGAACTGGTTCATTACATTATATGCTAGGTCTGTATTGGCAGGAAAAGACATCCCATGGTAGGTTACAAAATAGTGTGCTATGATCCAGGTCTCTCTCTCTGCACACAGGCACTTTGTGTGTGTGTATATGTAATGTTTACATGTATGCAAAGAGATTTGAAAGCTGTGCACTCAACAAAGAATCATTTTTAGAATTTCTTGGGATGTTATGTTTCTATTTTTAAATGCTGGCTTATCTATATTTCCTGACTCATCTATAATAATTACATATTATTTAATGAAAATAAAATTTCAGATTTCGCCCAAAGAGCAAGGCGCTTACAGAGTCACCGGCTGACTGGGTGTTTGCTCTGTGCCGTAGGCAGTCCTGTATTACCAGCTGGCTGCCAGCCAGGGCCATGGCCTGGCTCAGTACCGCTGCGCCCGGTGCCTGCTGCAGGGCTCCGCCTCGTCCTGGGACGCTGAGCGGCAGAGGGCCATGTCCATGCTGGAGCAGGCTGCGGACTCGGGCCTGAGAGAGGCAAGTGCCCGGGGCGGGTGTGTCCCGGGTATCCTGGGCAGGGGAGCCTGAAAGTGACCGAGCTGCCTTTCCCCTCGCCCTCGACCACAGGCCCAGGCTTTCCTCGGGGTGCTTTTCACCAAGGAGCCGCACCTGGATGAGCAGAGAGCCGTGAAGTACCTGGGGCTTGCCGCCGACAATGGGGTATGCCATCTCAGCTGTCCAGGCTTGTTGAACAGGGCGTTGAGTCTGTGCGTGTCTAGTGGGGGTGGAACCGAGTGTGTCTGTGCTCCCCAGCTGCACTTGAAGCCTTAGCCCTGTCTGCTTACTGTGGGACCCATGGGTGGACCCAATAGTCGCCCAGCCTGCAGTCAGAAATGGTGTGAGAATCTACTCCAAAGACAAAGCCGAATGCGCAGAGCAAGGCTCCCGCCCTCTGCCCCGAGCCAGCTGTTACATGTTTACCAGCACACACTGCTCTGATGCCTTCCTGATCTGACCCTGTTTGCCCATCTTGAAACTCGGCATGGTAACACCTGCCTCACCTGTCTCCCGATTCCGAGGTTGTTGTGAGGATCAGAAACTACCTGAGAGAGCAGGTGTGAGAACCCTTTGTTAGCTGTGCATGCGGAACGTGCATCTGTACAGGTGCTGGCAGCCTTGGAAGTCAGAAGATGAGCAGGGGGCGAGGGCGAGGGCGAGGCTGGGCACTGGGGGTGGGGGACATGGGCACTGGCATTCAGGCGGCCTGACCCGGAGATTGCTCCATGGAGCATTGGTTCCTTGCGGTGGACAGATTGGTTTGGGAGTACTGAGTTCAGCAGTGGTCTTGACTGCAGGAGCTCTCAGAGCGTTGTCACTGAACCCCCGAGAAGGCAGTCTGCTGTGCTGTCTTCCTCGAGTGTGTGTCACCAGGATGTTCTGAGTTGTGTCTGGAAGGCCCAGAGAAAGAAAGGGAGAGAGGGAGAGAGGTCTTCGACCATCCACTGGTTCACTCCCCAAATGGCTGCAATGGCCGGAGCTGAACTGACCCAAAGCTGGGAGTCAAGAGCTTCTTCCAGGTCTCCCATGCAGGTGCAGGGACCCAAGGACTTGGGCCATCATCTGCTGCTTTCCCAGGCCACAGCAGAGAGCTGGATCAGAAGTGGAGCAATCAGGACTGGAACTGGAATCCATATGGGATGCCAGCAATGTTGGTGGCGGCTTTACCTGTTATACCACAGTGCCAGCCCCAAGGCTTAGCCTTTTAAAGGAGCAGCACTTTTATGTTATTCAGGCTTTGCAGCCTCGCAAGCAGAGGTTCAGGAAGGCAGACAGGGCCTTTGGGAGGCTGCCCTTCCACCCTTGCCTTCTTGTGTTCCCCAGATAACGGAGCCTGGCTCCCAGGTTTTCCCATTACTGGGCTGAGTATTTCCTGCAGGTTTCACTTCTGCCTGTTTTAGCCAGCCTCAGCAAGAGCAGCCTCCACGCTACTCAGGCTGGCATCCTCCCGGGTGGAGGCGTCCCTGTGTCCCCCATGCTGGCGAGCTGTGGGCCTCTGATGTCTTACAGTTGACATCGCGGTATGGGCAGGCTCAGTGGGCCCTGGCCCTGCGTGGACCAGGCTTCAGCATGCCCAGCTCCATCTTCCTCCTGGCTGAGCATTCCAGTGTCCTGTGTGTGTGTGTGTGTGTGTGTGTGTGTGTGTCTGCCCACTTCTTCCCATAGGACTCACAGAGCAGGTACCACCTGGGGATTTGCTATGAGAAGGGCCTTGGTGTGCAGAGGAGTCTGGAAGAGGCTGTGAGATGTTACCAGCAGTCAGCAGCTCTGGGAAACCAGCCTGCCCAGGAGAGGCTGCGGACGCTGTTTGCCGTGAAGGCAACAGGTACTGATACATGTCAAAGCGAATAGGGTCCCTCCCCCGAGCTGAGTCCCCTGTGACAGAGTGGGCTGGCAGTATCCCTGGTCCCTTGTCATTTCCTGCCCCATTGATGGTGAAGAGCACAGCTTTTGGAATCAGACAAACCTGAGTTTTAATTCTTCGTGCCACTGAATTCAGACTGCACGTCTTTGACCCTGTAAAAACAAGGGTCATAGTGGTGCCTAACTCGTTAGGTTGTCATGGGGATTAAGTGAGATAACAATCAAGGTCTTAGCCCAGGGTGACACACAGCAGGTGGTGACTAAATGGAAGTTGGCTGGTGACTTTTAGGAGAGACGATGGCCTGAGACTGTCTGAACCACCCTCCTAGAGCTCGGAGAGTCCAGCTCAGGAATCACTGGACGGGGCTGGGTTCATGATGCCGGGAGGAAACAAGTCCTTTAAAAAGTCTTTGCTTGTGTTGGGTGTTTGGCCCAGCAGTTGCAACTCTGGTTGGGTTCCTCGCCTCCCGTTTTGGAGTACCTGGGTTCAGTGCCCAGCTCCACACCTGGCGCCAGAGCCCTCCTGCTAATGCACCCTGGGATCCGTGGTGAGGACTCATATGACTGGGTTCCCGCCACCCACGCGGGAGACCTGCACTGAATCCCTGGCTCAAGGGGGAGCTGTTGTAGGCATTCGGGGAGTGGGCTCTCTTGTCCTCTCTCCCCCTCTCAAATAAATAAGTATATAACATTGGACTTTGCTGCAGAGTAGGCGTTTGGGAATACAGCATGAGTAAGAGTGTCTCTCCTCTTTCGTAGCTCCGGGGCCCAGCAGCCTGGCAGTTACTGGGTTGAAGTCTTTCTCCAGCCCCTCCCTCTGCAGCCTGAACAGCTTGCTTGTGGGAGCCTCGTGCCTCCCACACGCCTCGAGCACGGGCAACCTCGGCCTCCTGTGCAGAAGCAGGCATCTCGGGGCCCCCAGCAGGACCGCCCCGTCCTTGGAGCGGAGTCTTCTAAGACTGGGTTTTGGCTAAGGTGAGGTCAGACACAGTGGCTGGTGCCTTTCCGGGCCCGGGGGCGGGCACAGGAAGTTGAATGACAAAAATAGGGTGTCAGTGTACTCCCCTGGGTGAACATTCCAGTGGTGCCCAAGTCCCCAGGTTCAAGTGCGTAGCTAACAAATGACTTGGACCGTTTCCCCCGCTTGGCAGATGCGTTCACAGTCATTCCTGGTCTGTGCACCAGAGATTCACTCGGTGACCTGTGCGAAACTGCCGAGGGGTCCGAGACCCTGGGGCTCACCTCAGCCTTTGCCCTCGAGCAAACGGCTTCAGCTTTCCCCTCCGTGGGCCTCGGCTTCCTCCCACCTCGACTCTGCCGACACCAGATGCGTGTACCTCTGTGGTTCACAGGGTGACCTCGGGCAGGATTCAAATCCATGTCTTATTGTAGTAGTTGTGTGTTTATCACTGAATGTGACAGCGTGACCAGCCTACCCACCTGTAGCTTTACAGACGGCATGGCTTGGATGAAGCTAACTTAGAAAAGAAAGGGGAGGTAATTTAAAGAAAACCATGGCCTCAAGGTGAACACAGGTCCAGAGAGGCGCAGAAGTCGGGGGAGTGGTTCCGTGAACAGCTGGAGCCCGGGGGGCCACAGTCGGGTCGTCCCTGAGACTGGCTCAGACCTTCGCCTTTGTTCATCCCCGGTAGAGAGAGTCGCCATCTTTCTCCTTGCCCTCTGACTGGGAGGAAGCTCTCCCTCCCTGACTGCCTGGATGTGTCTGCATCTGCTTGACTTTTTCAGACCTTCTCACTCCAGCCCTAGACAGAGCCTGTGAGTTCTCAGATTTCACCACTTGAGTCCCAACGAAGAGGCTGATTGTCCATCCACCTCCCAAAAACCTGAAGCACCTGCGCGGCACAGCAACCAAGAGGGAAGTGTGTGACGTCCCTGGCGGCCCTGACCTGACTTGCCGTACCGTGTCCTCGGTTGTAGACCACGGACAGTGGTATGTGCCCTCCTGCCGTGCAGGACTGACCTGATGCAGACACCTGTGTGTCTGCAGAGCACGCCCCGGTGCCCACTCAGCCCGCAGAGGCAGTGGGCGGCCCCGGGTGTCAGGAGGCCAGGAGGGGGACCTGGGCCACCCAAGGTTCCCCTCCACGGGCTCACGCTGCGATCTTAGGCGCAGGCATGACTCTCATCCTCCCGACGTGAGAGAGGACCTGGAGTCCAGCACCAGGCGCCTCGGAGCCAGACAGGGGATTGTGAGTGCTTGTTTGAGAAAGGTGTGCGGAATCGTAGGGGTGTTTAATAAAGCAGAGATCGGATTATCTCATCATTCTTGCCCTTGAGCGTGTTGGGGAGAGCCAAGGAGATGGGCAGGGGATGCTGAAAGCCGAGGCTCCGTCCTCCTCTCTAGACTCTCCATTAACCAATTTAAAGGGTCTTAAAAGCTTTTCCAAGAGAGAGACTTAGAAAAAAATGATTTCTGAGTCAACGCTAATGACTCCAATTACTGAATTTGTGAATAGCTCTGTTCCCTGGCTTCTGGATATTAGCCCAAGTTCAATAGCATAGATGTGGTTGAGGGTGGGGGGTGGGAGGGACCGCTGGAATGGGAAGGGCCAGCCCCCTCAGCCAGTACAAGGGTGGCAGCATTTCGGGGCTGGGGCTGGGGGCCCGGTGGGGGGTTTGTACCTTTCTCCACCCCGACTCTCCCAACCTCACAGTGGTCCCTGCCACACTTGGCCCAGCAGCTTCCGGCCACTGCTGGAGCGCCCAGCGCCTCCCTCGGGCCCTGGTCTCTTTCTGGGCCTACCCTGCACTCTGGCCTCACCCCCGCAGGGCCCCTCCCACAGCTGTCTCCTTCCGTGCCTATCCCAGTTCCCTAGCCTTTAGCGCAGTGCCCCAGTGGGGGGTGGGGCCCAGCATCTTCAGCAGCGCCGGGCGCTGATGTCTCTGCCAAAAAGGGGGCAGGGGGAGGTTTGTGGTCAGATAAGTTTGGGAAAGGCTGTGCTAGACGTCCCCTTTTATAGATTCACAATACACATCAGCATATTCAAGGTTCCAAGAAGTGCTACGGGGAAGAACCTGGTTAACCCTACGTGTCCCGCACCGCCAAGTCCAGCACGAAGCCTGTTCCCTCACAGATTGCCTGGCAGCCCCCGGCACCCTTGGGGGCTGTGTCACAGCCTGCCCTCCCCATGGAGCCCAATCCCCAGCCCCCACCCCCCACCCCCATTGTGCCTTTGGATTCTGTGATTGTGGCTTAGATCTGACCACACCTGAGGCCACGGGTGTCCTGTGCTGACGGCAGGTGCAGCTCCCGCAGTCACTGCTGAGTTAAACGCTGGTTCGCTTTGGGGAGCCAAAGCGGGGGTGGGCTGTTCTCAAGAGCTCCCATTTAGGACGGAAGGGCTTCCTGTGGAGAAGGCGGGGCGAGCTGGGGGAGAGATGCTGTCAGTGCTGTCAGGGGACAAAACCCTGGCTCTTCAGGCACTGCAGTCCTGACACAGCCCCAGGCTCACCAGCAGACCTGGAACTGCTCTGTGTTTGCCATGAGAATTCCGTTATTAATGACCATGATTAATGACTCGTCATTATGCCCCGAGAGGAGATGTGGGAGGAGGACAGGGAGGTGGCCTGGGTGAGAATGCTGGGCGCCCCAGTGTGGAGGCCTGGCGCCCTCGAGCTGGGACTCTGCGGAAGCCCCAGTGCCTGCCTTTCCCTGCATGGAGATCCGGGAGCCCTGACCCTGTGGCAGAGGGACCCTGTTTGGTCCCTTGGAGCTTCAGGGCCAGCCCAGTGCAGAGTGCTTAGCGGATGCTCAGTGAATAGTTGCAGTGAGTGAGAGTGATGGCAGGAGTCCCCTCCTCTCCACCCAGCACCCAGCTCCACGCCTACCCAGCACGTAGTAGGTGCTTTAAATAGCAATGGATGAATCAAGGATTCACCCCCACCTTGTTCCTTGGACAACTTTGGACACTTAGAAATTGTCCAGTAAATACAAGGCATTTGCTGAAGCAGTGTTTCTGATCGTACCCCTTCTCCCTCTGCCCCCATTACATCGCACCCAGCACTGAGTAGGGTTGGAAAATACCGACCTATTTCCCAGGTCCACACCAGGTGCCAAGCTGTGCTTGAGCCAAGACTCCCTCCCCACCTCTCCCATCTTGCTTTTTGGGATTTGCTTCTCTCGAGAGTCCCAGGGGTAGCAGTTGCCATCTCGACTCCTGTTTGAGCCAGAGGAGAGGCAGGGTCAGTGAGCTGAAGCTGGGTGACAGACAAGAAGGCTGCCTGTCAATCTCTGAGCTGCCCCCAGGCTCCAAGTGAGCACTGCGTGGCAGTCCCGGTGCTGGAGAGCGGCTGACTATTGATAAAATGTGTCCCTCTGTGCTTTCCAAATTAAGACGACATTTAACTGAGAGCCTGCTGGCTCGCCTGCTCCCTCCGTCTCCCAGGGGACAGAGCCTATCTTGGTGGAAACTGTTTTGAACATGTCCAAAGTCTCAGCTTTGACATCTTGGCTGATGTCAAGAAGTTTCTGTAACCTTCCTGTTCAGCACACCCAGTTCTGTCACCATATGCACCGTGGCGTTCTCAGTCTGTTGCGGGAAAACTGCTGCTGTCAGCGTGCAAGGAGGGACGCGGGAAGAACACCAGGCCTCACGGACGGGCACCCCAACTGGATCAAAGACCTCTCGCCTCAGAGCAGGAGCAGCAGCCAGGACTTCTCCAGGTTGTGCGGGGAAGCCGAGCGGAGGCGCGGCCTGCAGGGTTGCAGTGGGCCTTCATCTTATGTAGGTCAGAGACCCCTGTGAGAATCTGATGAAAGCGCCCACCCTTTCCACGGAAAACTGCTGCTGCTTCCCAGTCCTGCGTGCACTCAGCAGGCTCGGAGATGCTGAAGCTGCACCGGGACCCCAGGTGAAGAGGCCTTGATGTATTAGAAAAACATCATCTCGATCCCAGATCCAAACCCTAGCGCTGCCACGGGGCCCGGGGCAAGCTGTCTGCCGTGTCTGCCTTTCTCTATCCCCGGCTGTAAAATGAGGAGTTGAAATAGGTCAAGTCCAGGCTCCTCACGACTGGACTCGCCCGTGTCCGGGGAGGGTTGGGGCACGTCACAGCAGGGCTGCAGAACCCTCTGTAGATCACATGTTCCTTTGAGAAGATGGTAGCTTGTGCATTCTGCCCGGAAAGATGCTTGTACGCAAGTTGTGACTAATTTTTTGGGGGGAGGGGAGGTGCAAGGGCTACAGCTTTAGGACTTTGTGACCCCGAGGCGTGCCATGGTCAGGCAGCTGCACTTCCTTAGGTCACCTCCTTCCCTCGTCTCTGCACCTGCCAACATCAGCTGTGCACTAGGAGTCTACCAGCCGGTGGGGAGTCAGCACCAGCTGCCCTAGCAGTGTCACTCAGACTTGGTTTTTCCATAACAGAGCCACGTTTTCCTAATGCAGCCTTACTCAGAGCTCCAGTATTGACAGAAGGGTCCTGTGATCCCTGTGTGTACCCAGTTCTTCACTCACACATCCCCTCAACAAGTTCACCCGCAAGTGTTGCCCTGTGCCAGGCAGCTGGCCCCTCTCAGGGACCCAGAGACCCACACAGAAGATCACAGGTCTCTTGTCGCAAGGCCACTGTGGCCTGGAGGGGCTGGATCAGGACCCAGAGACTCCAACCTTGGACCCCTGACCACCTGCATGGGGGCCTCGTTTTCTTCAGTCGTAAAGAGTGGTGACAGCGATGCCAGACTGTTCAGGTTTCAAGAAGGCCCTGCAGTCCCCAGTGGGCAGTATAACTGGCCCGATTTGATGGACAGTGGGTGTGGGCAATGAACTCGAGCAGGGACAAAAGGAGGCACAGACAGAGGAACGTCCAGTGTCTGCTAGACATTTAGAAGCTTGCCAAGTGACTGCGTGGAATTTTCCTGGAAAATCACAAAGCTGAACCCTGGGAAAACAGTGGCTGTTCTTCATCCCCACCCCCGACCCGCCTCTGGAGAGCCGGCTGCTGTCAGCGTCGATTGCATAGACCCAGGTCACACGCTGGCCTCTGGGGCCTGCATTCCCAGACCTGAATGCTCGCAGGACGGGCCACCTGTGGACAGGGGAGGGGTGACTTCTGCACCTTCTGTGCCGTGGCAAAGGGAAGGGGCCTGTGCCAGGGCAGGGGGTCCATGCTCCTTCAGCACGGGTGTGCGCGTTCGAGGCTGAGGGGTTCAGGAGGGGGGCTCAGGCAAGTCCGCCGCTGGCAGAAGCTGTCCTCAGGGCTTTTCCTTTTCTTTGCCTTGGCTGGCAGCCTTGGGCCAGGGCTGGGGGCGTGGGGTTTCATGTTGGACCACTCCGGATCCAAATCCTGGCTCCATCTCTCCCTCCTGCTCGATCTTGGGAGAAACTCAACCTTCCTGAGCCTCATACTGCTTGTCTGTGAAATGGGGATAACAATCCCTGCCTCCCAGAGTCTGCAGAAAATCAAATGAAACCCTAACTATAAAGCTTGGTGCCTGGCTCATGGAAATGCTCTATAAATAGTCCTGCTTTTCTTAGCCCTAATTTTCCAGCTTGGAAGCAGATCCTTTGCTAGAGGCGAGAGGTCAAGAGCATGTGCGTCCATCGTCTGTGTACCTGTCACCAGTGGGGCAGCATCAGCACGCCCCACTCCCGGCCAGGCCCACCAGGACTTTCTTGCCAGGGACCGGGTGACAAAGAACCCTCCTCACTCTGTCACTCATACCTGTTTTTCCTGAAAGGTGCACACGGGAGAGCAGACTGCCTTGTTTTCTTTATTAGTAGGGCAGGGAGCATTGCCTGGCCCCGCAGGACCCGGTGCCCTGATCCCGAGCTACCCAACAAGGCCACCCCTGCCTGGGATGCTCGTGGCATCCATCCTGCTGCAGGGTGCACCCTCCCCACCCTGCTTGTGTTTTGCCAGCAAACACTTATCTCAGCCACAAACTGTCCCTGGACAGAGCCCGTCATAAGGGGCTGCTCCAGGCAGTCCATTGTCACCCCTGGGGCCATCGCCTCCTCTGTGGGGACAGCACCAGTCACCCTCAAGTTCTCCACAATGTCAAAAACCAGGTCCCCAGGCCTGGCCTCTCTCACATCTCTCAAGACCTCTGCTTCTTGGAATCAGAGGCACCCAGGGTGTGCTCCCGGGCACCTGCTGCTGCTGCTGTCGCTGCCACTCTGGCCCTCAACCCCCTTCTTTCCACCTGGGCCCTCCTGCACTTCCAGGCTGGAGGTTCTGCCCGTGGCCAGGTCCAGACTGAGGGTCCTCCCACAGACCGAGAGCCGCCGCAGCGCCTCGGAGGCGGCCTCCACCGGCACGCTG